TACCCGCTGTAGACAATTTTGGCTCTATTAAAAAGTGTGAAAAAATTTTTAAAAGGCTCCAATTCCTCCAAAGCGTTTCTAGATGGTTTTGTAACCAACACCCCCTTGCTCGAAAATGAAGCAGCCCTAGTGTTCCCACCACTGATGACCCAAAACGACACCATAGAACACTGACGGACCCTTCCCGAATTCGAGTTTCAAATGCACCGTTACAAAGGCAGCACCCGCACCCCCCAGCATCTAAAGCAACCACTGTGACAGAGCTAAATGTGGATGCTGTGTGGACAGCTGCATTTTGGTTGGGCAATAATGAAGTTGGTTTCATGACCTCACGTCAAACCTCCCTTACCGTGTTATCCTCTGCCCTTCGCGGCACTGGAGGGACTTCTCAGGGCTTGGAGAGATGAATCCTGCCGGCATCCGGATCGCACCTGTGGCTGGATGGCGTCGATGCCAAAGACATTTGAACACCATGTCTCCGTGGTACTTACTATAGGAAGATGCAATCTGGACTCTCAGATTGCTCTCTCCTGGCTTCATTTGGATAATGATTTAATGCATTAACCAATTTTTTCCTTTTCATTGAGCTCATGTAACAAGCTGTACAAAGGCGCTTAGCGTTTTATGTTATTCTGTACCTGTCTGCGTGCATAATAGTGCCTGACAACGATAACATCCTCCTAAGTGGCTGTACAGAAAATGCAGTTCTGCACCGGCGTTTCGGAGGCCCTTAAGGCGGAGGTTCCAGAACTAGCTGATCTGGAGGTCACGTGATGGGTGCGGAGCGCCCAGGCTTGGACCCAGGATGGACACCGAGTGGGCAGCGCCAGCCCGTGAGCGCAGGCCCTGTGCTTTGTCCAAGTTTGCTGACATTGTGGCCTCGGTCCTCAGGCCACGACCTCATCCTGGAAGGCCAACCCCCACCCCCGCTGCGCCCCCAGAAGCTCGAGTGCCGGTGTTCTCATTCCTGACTCGGGTTGATTTTGGTCACCCGGCCAAGTGCCCGCCTGTGCATCTGTTGAAAGCTGTCAGAGGCGAGATTTCTCCCCAGCTGTCAGGCTCATCCGTCTTCAGTGGCAACTCCGTATCAAGTAGCAGGACGCCGCAAAGATAGAACAGCACGAGTCTTTCCAGGCTGCTTGTATGGCTAGGAACAGCGCTGTGGGAATCAAATGGAGGTTAAGACCCATAAGGACTGACCGAAAAAGAAAAAAAAAAAAATCAAGACCACTCTAGGCATTCGGGATGAGACATTGCTATGTGGTCCGAATAAAAAGGCCTGCTGTAAAAGCTGCGTGTTGATCCCTGTGTGTCCCTAAGCCAGGGTAGGAACAGCTGTCTTCCCCAGAGGCTTCCAGGAGACCGGAATAGCACAGGCCCAAACCACCTACATGACTCTCCCGAGAGCGTGAAAAACTCAGATTACCTCCCATCTCCCGCAAAATGGAATCTGGGAGGTTGAGGGCTGTGGCTGAAGGAGCACATTTCTTAAAATCTGATTTCAGATGCAGGCGGTACACATGCATGTTGGTCACATAGGCATACTGTGTAGTGGTGGGGACGGGGTCTCAGGTGGCCCATTCCTGAGTGAACACGGTACCCCTTGTTCAGGTAATTTCTGAACCACGACCCCACCTCCCCCTTCACTGGCCCCCCGTGTCTGCCATTTCCACCTTTGAGGAGCACATTTTTTTCCCCTTTGGGTTGGAGTCTTATTCTGTCACCCACGCTCCCGGCCACCACAATCTCTACCTGCTGGGCTCAGGAGGTCCTTCCGCTTCAGCCTTCCAAATAGCTAGAACTACAGGTGTGCATTATCACACCTGGCTAATTTTTTTTTAAATTTATTGTAGACACGAGGTCTCACCATGTTGCCCAGGCTGGTCTCGAACCGGTGGGCTCAGGCGATCCTCTCGCCTCGGCCTCCCAAAGTGCTGGGATTATAGGCTTGAGCCACCGTGCCCAGCAAGGAGCACATTTTTAAATGGCTGGAACTATGGCCCCTCCAGATATGCGTGGACCACACACCTAGAGCAGTCAAGTCCGCTCGCTCAGGGCAGTGGGGATGTCACCGGACGGGAAGGGGCACAGGCTTCCTGGTCACTGGTTGCTTATTGAACTTTTGCCCAATACTCAACAGCCCAGTGTGTTGTCAGACTCAGGCTGGGAATGTTCCACTCTCCCTATCCCATCCTAAGGGAAAAACAAATGTTTGTCTCACCCAAGAGAAGCTCATTTTGAGAGATGTGAATGTGTCGCCCCTCCCCTTGGATAAGAAGGGGAGTGTCGAGGAGGGCTTTTGGTCCTGGGCTTCTAGTGAAAGACAGGTCCCAGGAATGTGTTGGAGCAACCAACACCTCTTCACACACTTGAAGAGTCTAAGTTTCGATGGTCCTCGACGGCTAGGGAGAGACCTTAGTGAGGGTCTGACAGAGTTAGCACTTCAGGGGGCCTCCGAGGAAGCCCATGGCTCACGAGGCACTGAAGAGCTCCAAGAATGGAGAAAAGTTGAACAGGTGCCTGTCACGTGGCAGGCCTGCTGGGTGGCACTGGCACAGAGCATGTACCTGGGCCACCCCAGCTAACCCTCACGCAACCCCGTGGACTGCAGAGACAGACAGCAGCCCCGCTTGACTCGTGAGCAAGCACATGCAGAGAAGCCTGGCGGCCTGCTTGAAAACCCAGGGCTGTGAAGGACAAGGGGGCACTGCCTTTATGCCTGGCCCGGGCAAGTGCCCTCTCGCCTGTGCAGGGGCAATGCCGCTCTCAGGAGAGCAGCCGGCACCCTGGGGGATGGCAGAACGGAAATAACTGCATTCGTGGCACAATCACATACCAACAACGAACAATGCTGGATTCTGCTGAGCAACGGGCCAAGACCAGACCCGTGTTTACTGAAAAGTAAGATTTTAAAATAACACTTCCAAACTTTCCTATGCTTTCAGTTCTGAACTTTGTCTTAAAAAATTAATTTGGCATGCTGGCCCTGGGTAGGAGCGGTGGTGGAGAGGCAGATTACAAACCAATCAGCACATGCAAACCAAAGCCAAGGCGGTGCCAGGACCAAAAAACGTTCTGCTTGGAAACATCGGTTTCAGTCGTTATAAAGACTCTGATCATAACGTAAGATTTTAATTTGCGATGCACTCTGAGAAAAAAGATGGGTTGTCATACCTCCCTTGAGACACCGGGTAATGGCATCTGGCCGTAAACCACATGAGAAGGGCTTGGTGGTTATGCACCCTAATTTGGCGGGATGGAACAGTATTCACATAAAATGAAGGCAGTTAAATGCAAACAAGTGAGTAAAGCCACCCAACCAGACAATGACTTTTATTGTCCTTTGCTGCCTGTGCAGGGACCAGGCAACAAACAAGATCTGTCCAGGAAATCTCTGGACAGCCAGGAAAGGGGATGGCATTGGTGCTACCTTGCTGGATCATCGGCGGCCACACTCGAAGCCACATGGGAACCCTGCCTTGACCTCCCACTCTACTGGCTCATCTGGGATGATCGATCCACTCTCCACTGGACGCCACCAGGACGTCCTGGGTGCCGAACCTTAATAAAAAATACTAGTCCCGATCGACGGCAGGCAGCTGGACACCCACAGGGCAGTTTGGGACAAGACGAAAACAACTGTCAGTGACAACTATGAGCCTTAAAGAAGTTCCTGGAGCCAAAATGTCTATCCGTCTCTTGTCCTTTAATCACTCTATTTCTTCCTGAATTGCTACACGTCGATCAAAGTCTTCTGGATGTCCAGGCACCAAGCATGTAGAGGGGTTCCGGCATCAGGTCCAAATGCCATAAACAAGCGAGACCTGAATGAGTCCGGAGGAAGCGTTTCTCCATGGATAAGGCACAGAACAGATGTATTTTGTCTAAGGTAACAATCTGCCTCATCACCTGAATGTCTTCTGCATATGACTGAGTGTCACCAACCTCAGGTGCCAGAAACCAGACCTCTACTTTATTATTATCAAAAGCCATGGGCTGAATGAGGTGGCTCATGCCTCTGATCCCAGCACTTTGGGAGGCTGAGGCAGGAGAATCGCTTGAGGCCAGGAGATTGAGACAAACCTGGGCACCATAGCAAGACCCTGTCTCTCCAAAAAAGAGAAAGAAAAAAAATAGCTCGGTGTGGTGGCGGGCACCTATAGTCCCAGATACTCAGGAGGCTGAGGCAGGAGGATCCCGTGCGCCCAGAAGTTTGAGGCTGCAGTGAGCTATGACTGTGCCACTTCACTCCAACCTGGGTGATGGAGTGAGAACCTGCCTCTAAAAAAAAAAGGAATACATTAAAACAAAGGCAACACAAAGATGCAATGCATTCATGAGGAGCAGGAATGGTAGTGAAAATGCACACGCTCATGCAATACTTCATTTCTCCTGAGATCGCTCCTGGCTGGGCTTGGGAGGCAGAGAACCGAGTGGAGCTCTGGTTTTGCGCCCCTGTCCCAGCACCTAGCAGCCAAGGGTCCTTGCACATTTATACTGTGCCTCTTTCTTCACCTGTAAATGGAACGGCAGCAGGACACATCTCCCGGGGCTGTGATGAGGAACAGAGGACTTCACACCTGGGCGTGACGCACACTTGCGGTGGTGGGCCCACCGGGCATAAGCTCTGTTTCCCAGCCTCGCATTCCCAGCGCTTGGCATGGTGCATCCGTTCGGTCAGTGCTCCCGGACGGAGAGGCAAACCCCAGCCGGCAGCGGAGGTGCTGAGTGTGAGGGCTCCGGGGAAAACAGCTCGTAAGCCGGTAACTTCCCGAGGTCAAGGGAGGCCGAGCTAGCGACCCTTGGCACTCCCTTAAGCTTCACTAATTAAAACTTATTATTTCAGCATGCAAAACTGTGGGGGCAGAAAAAGAAAACACAGCCACACATCTGCTGGGCTCCTCTCTGAAAAGGCCTCCCGTGGTGAGCAGCCGGCAGACGCTAGTCATGACTCTCCCTTAATTAAGTTTCCCCAAAGAGAAACGCACACAGAGTCTTGTCATAATGGGTTTTTTTATTACAATATCCAAAAAACTGGGTATGCAAGTGTAGGGGACCTCAAGGCCCCTTCTTCAGTCGTAGGAATGTGCCACCTCGAGACTGTATATTTAAACTAGAAAGAAGTTCAAATGGAAAGGGAAAAGAAAATGCGATTTCTCCACAAACGTTCTGTGCCCCTTACTACCAATCACATATTCTTCTGTAAACCCTGAAAAATTTCCCTGTAAAGCAAATAATATATATATATACACACACACATATGTGTGGGTGTGTGTGTGTATATATATACATATACACATATATATATACACACACACATATATATACTGTGTGTGTGTGTGTGTGTGTGTGTGTGTGTGTGTGTGTGTGTGTATAAAGTGTTGGTAGCTCCCCTTCCCCAAAGATCAGCTGTTTTCCTTAACTATCTGTATTAGTGTCAACGAACAGCTACAGAAACATATTTCTTTGAGAATTAAATATATAATTGTGAAATTCAAACAAGCCAAAGGGCAGAAAAGCACTATGTGGATGGCACATCTGGGGGTAAATGACCAAAACACCCGTCGTGCTGGGTCACCAGTTCCCTCTTTGCAGACTGACTTCCGGAAACTCTCTCTTTATTGCAAGCACAGCCCCAAGGCACTGGGCAGGGTCCTCACCGCCCTCTCACCCGGTGGGTCCAGTATTGCTATCAGTGCCCGCGGTCACTCCCTGCAGAGTCTGAGAGCTGCCGAAGGACACGGAACAGGGATGAGGGCTGCTGGGACCGGGGCCGCTGCGTCCACCGCCTGGCACGCTGAGGAGCCGGGAGCCCGGGGCGCCACCTTGGGAGTGCGCTGGAGCGCGCCCCTCCATGCGACGGCAGCTTTGGGGTGCTCGTCCCAGGTGTTCCATGAGCATGGACGATGTGGGCGGACAAGCACTGTTTCCGACCGAAATGGAGCAAGGGAACAGCCTCACCCTCGCCCCCTACCCTTGCGCTCAGCCTGGCTGGGCCTGAGTGTGGGTGTGAGGGCCTGGAGGGCTGGTGGGGACCGGAGCGACCAGCGGCCTGAACAGAAAGAGAGGCTGGGCAGAGGAAGCCCGTCAGGCCGCACCCGGTGGGCACGGCCCCTGCCGAGCGTGGCACGTGGCTGCTGCCCTGGGCCCCCGGCTCTGGGGGAGCGTGGTGGCCCTGAGGGCCTGGGGCTGGTGGCCTGGTGTCACTGCAGGGCTCTGACGAGGTAGAGCTTCTCCCCATGCTCGCTGGTGAAGATGGGCGCCTTCTTGTAGTGTTCCACCAGCTCGTCCATGGTGTGGAACCGCCTCTGCCCAATGCAGTAGACATTGTCCACAAGCTGCACCTTGAAGTGTTTGTTCTTCCCTGACGCTTTGAGAGACACGGAGAAGTCACTAGGCTGGGGAGGAAACAGAGCACGAGTTAGGCCGGGACCCGGCCGACAGTCCTGTCACCATGTGACGCACAGCTGTCTCAGGGACCACTGTCTGAATCTTCCATGGATCTAAGTCCAAACCCCTGTTCGGCTGGGATGGTCCCTCTGTCTCACTGTTTGAAGGGGCATCTGGAGCTCCCCAAGCCCGGAGAAAAACCCAACCAACGCTTAGCCCGGTCTCAGCGCCGACTGCATTTCAGGATGTGAAAGGTGGAAGAAACACACGACGGAGTGAACCACACCCCTGTGCTGACCTTGAGGCTCGGGAAACTTGAGTTTTTCCATTTCCTGAACTATTTTCTGATAAACTGGGAATCTATGAACAGTAATGCACGGGCAGCCAGCGGCTACAAGTTTCACTTCTTCCGACTTCTAACAATTAAACACTAAGCCATCGACCACTGTCTAATGCTAAGCATTTAGAAATATTAACAGTGGAAAGTTCTGGTTGCGTTTTAAAGACAGTTCATAAAAATCCCGAGGGGGCTGCTCCAGTATAGATTTTATTGAGAAATATTTAATTTCTGTGATGTGTCCGTGCCTTACTTATACTTGAGTATATTTTAAATACATGTCATTATTTTAATTAAAACTGGTCATTTATCTAATTTACGGAAAAACATGCAGGAAAATGAGGAAGTTCTTTGTAAAAAAAAAAAAAGTGCTGGCTAATCCAATACACAACGATCGCCTATTAACACTGATGCCACGCCAGGTGGGCCATGCCCTGGATGCCAATGCTCACGCATGTAGGACATAAGCTCAGCACATGGCAATCCAAGGGGGTGGATACATTGTGGCAAACTGTGGCAAGTTCTACGAAAAGAAGGAGTGGCATGAGTGAGAACAGGCCACGGAAGGCAAATCTAAGTGTGTCAGCATATGCATGTGTGTGCAGATGTGTGGGGGCATGCCAGGGCACACGTGTGTTGGGGCGGGGGCCAGGACAGGCCTCTGAAGAACGCAGGGCTGGGCCTGAGCTGTGAGGTGGGAAATGGTGGGGGAGCGTTCGGGCAGTCGGGACCTTGGTAAAGAAAGGGAGAGAGGACCTGTCCCTTTTGGGGCACTGAAGGGGCAGCGTGGCACCGAGGGGTGGAGAGGGGCCCTGACCTCCCTCAAGAACCTTGGAACCAAGCCCAGGTGCCCTCCTGGCTCCTGCCTGTGGTTCCAAGCCAGCTGACCAAAGCGTATTCCAGCCGGGTCTCGCTCCACTCCCCTTCATGTCGCTCTCGGGGCTACAGCGCCAAGGACATCCCGTCCGTGAGAGGCCCGGTGGCCTCACACCAGGGGAGCTCTCCCGGGCCCGCCCTGCAAGTGGCAGGAGCACAGCCCAAGGCGGGTCTCCGCATTTCCTCACGGAATTCCCAGACTGGCTTCCTGTCTTTCCCAAGGCCCGGGCACTTCTGCTGCCGAGACGGCAGCTCGGCCCTGTTCTGCCACCTCCCAGCAGGACCTCCAGGCACTTTAACAAGTGTCCAGGCCGTCGTCTCTTACGCCACAGCTGTCGGCACGAATGAGAAAGTTACAGTTTGTATTTACGGGTGCCTCAGCCCCAAACAGACAAAACCTTGGGGGGAAAGGTGCCATCTTATCTCCATGCTACTCTCAGGGCTGGCCTTGGAGGCGTCCCAGGACACGCGCCTGGATGAAGCTTCAGAAAAAGAGTGGAAGGTCCACCTAAGCTGAGGCCTCAGGCTTTATACAGGTTGCATTCCCAGTCACAGCTGCCGACTCTGGGTTGGGAAGGTGAGGGAGACACGGAACTTGGAGATGATTCCAGTGGGTCACGGAACCCGACGTCACGGGTGATCCCACCAACTTGCCCCGTCTATCTGCGTGACAATCTGAATAGCACCACACGTCATTCCGGGTCATCACATGACGGCACCATTCTCAGAACAGGGCTACTAAACAAGATGGATGGAAGCCAGCCTCAGTATGCTCGGTGTTACCAGCCGAGCTCGTGGCCACATGTGGTTTTGAAGGTAAAATAAGCCACAACACTCTCCGTACTGAGCAAGGCCTGAGACTCAGTGGCCGTGTCATCCGTCCTTATGGTTCAGGAGTCGGCCAGGCACACACACTGGGCACCCCAGTGCACGCAAGTCATGAACCACGCCCCCTGCTCCTAAGGGCTTCAGGGTTTCCTTAAAGCAGTTCTTATTTTCGCTTCAAGTTCCTCACTGTTAGTCTTCTGTATGTACATTCTGGGCTCGAAGTTCACCTTACTCAAAGTCCAAGCTCATGGGAGCAGTCTACCACGAGCCGGGCACTGGTTTTTATAGATACTGTCATGACCCTCCATAGAGTGGCATGCTTTTTAGTGGAGGCAGTACGGGAGTAAGTAATGGTAAATACACAACACACCTGCGCATTGTGTATTTTCATTAAGCCAAATGATCGACAGATGCTGTTCCGAATAGGGAAATTTGCTTTCTAATCGAAATTCCTCAGCTTAACATCATAGGTGTGTGTGCACATGGGTTTATAGCCGTAAAACTGATGTGGCAGCCAAGGTATTTTTCAGTTTGTAGGCTCCTGACCTGAAACCTTAAAATCAATAACACAGAACCAACGCATGCCAGGCTGAGCATTTGGGAGTGTTAATTCCAACTGAACAGATTTTTCCACAGGAAATGGAAAAATGGACAACCTATGCACGAATGCACACTGCTATGTGTTACCACTGAACACCCAGCCACACTGTGGCTAAGTCTACACATGCTCCCAAGCTCCACCACATCTGCATCTGCTGAGGACTGCTCACCAGGGCGAATCCCCAGGCCCTGCCCAGACCTGCTGAAGTAAGGACTCTGATGGGGCCCAGTCCTCAGTGCTTGAGCCCCCTGCAACCTGTGTCTTAAGAAGCCCTCCAAGGGATCCTGGGGCAATGTGAGAAGCAGTGTTGGGTGACGCTGCCCACGATGGAAGGAGGGCCAGGCCGACCCCACTCCAGTCCGCGGATACCTTTCTGATTCTGGCCTGGGAAGTCCGGCTCTGCTCCAACATTCCCCGTGGGGACTTTCTCCTGATGGGACACGCTGGTGAGAGTGCTGTAAGGTCTCTTCCCTTCTAATCCAGCTGGTCCTTGGATCAGATGGAGCTGGAACTACTCCTGACCCCAGGCCACTTCACCTCAAGAGAGACACCACGAGGCAGGGAGTGATTCCCAGGAAGTCTGCCCCATGGATCCTGTTCTCTGTGTGCTTCCTTCATGTCTGGCTTCCTCAATAGACTTAGGGCAATCAGAGACTCAGTGAATGCTAGTGGATTGACAGTATGATAGCCTACTCTAAGCTGGGCAAAGAACCTCAACACGCTTTTGAAACATGCCATCAACATGTGGGCTGAAGCTGCAGTCATCTGAAGGCTTGACTGGGGATACAGGGTCTGCTTCCAAGGTGGTCTGCTCACAGAACTGCCCGGGGCCTCTCTAGAGCTTTCTGAATGTCTTCACAGCATGGCAGCTGGCGGAGCCTCTATCAAGTGATCCCAGAAAGAGCCAAGAGGAGGCCAGGGTGCGCTTGACACCCCAGTCTCAGAAGGTGCCCACCATCACTTCTGTCACATGCTATTCATTAGAAATGAGTTGCTACGTGCGCCCATTCTCCGGCATAGAGGATCAGGCTCCACCCTCCGAAGAAAGGTATGTCAGAGAATCCATGGACATCTTTTTAAGCCATCAGAGATCCCGCACTTGTTAAAATTTTCTATGGCGGGACTGAACTCTATAACTAGCCTCAGTCCTGTATTTACTTCTCAGTCTTGAAATCTCTGTTTCCCTGCTTTAATTCCCACCTTTGTGCTTTTCCCACTGCCCATGTTTTCCTCCCCTTCCTTGTCCAACACGGTACTTACTGGGAACACAGTCATTTCTCTTTGCTGGTGACTGGGCTAATCCTTGTGTTTTCTAACATTCGGCCACTTCCTGTGATCTCCTTCTCTAGTCCTTGTAAGAAATGATTTTTCTATTCTCGTAGTTTCTGAATCGTGGCCCCAGCTGGCTGCAGCCTTTAGATGACTACAGCCTTAGCCGACATCTTGAATGCAGGTTCTGGAGAATCAACCATCAGTACAACCCATTCATTCCACCATTCTTTTTAGGAGGTCACTTTCCAAGTGGAATCTGAGGACGATTAATAGGATGGTAGATAACCGCTCTCTCTCTCTTGGGCCTTTATTATTATTATTACCATTATCATTACTATTGTTTTTGTTTTTGTTTAGGTGCCCTGTTTGAATATAATCGCTCCATGTGCAGGAACCTGATTAAACTCCACATTCCCACATTGGTCTCAGTGTCTCTGGTGTTCGATCAATGTGCTGACTCACAAATTTCGAATTTTGACCAACTCTTTTGCCACTCATTTCTTTAGGTAATTCTTGTACCTCATCTCTTTGCAATTTCTGCTTGCAACAGATGGATGCTTTAAAAAAAAAAAAGAACACCAGAGAATACACTTGTTGATACTATCTCTACAGATTTACCAGCTTGATCCACTGCCTCAAACACTTGCTGAAAAGCACCTTTGCGTTTTTGTAAAACAGATGCCCTGATCAGATATGTCTTTTCTTTGCTCAAGGTTTAATCATTGAGTTCTCATAAAGGGGGAAAAAATGGATGGGGAGAAAAGTCTTAATATCTTGCTTGTTCCTTCCTCCCTGAAGGCGTGAGTGTTAATGCGATTTTCTCGCAGCACGATGGCCATGAGGAAAGGTGGGAGGGCGTTCTCCTGACTCTTTAATAACCTTAAAACTTCTTACCTTTCACTTTTGGATTTATGAAAAGACAAGCATAGACAAGCCCTTTGAGGGATTCCCCGGCCTCCCACACAGACTGTAGACCCATCGCTGGTTGAGCTTAAGTCTCCAAGCATCAACCATCTGCATATATACTTAACACTCTCTCCACCCCCAAAGAGAGGTCACCTTGCTAGTTTCTTATCAAATGCTATCTCTTTCTT